TTTATTCATTCACTCTTTTCTAGTGTTTCTGTGTTTATTACTGTCCAGCCTCATCTTGGTTATGTTTTAAAAATCAAACACTTTCCTACAGTTGTGAATTAAATAGTAGAGTGTAGTTACCATATCATGCTTCAACTGTTAAATGAAGCTTATCATGTCATAGCACTAAAAAGATTCACTTAAAAATCAAGATTTAAAAATATATATTGATTAAAATGTACCACTAGAAAGGTATTACTTGTGTATAAGTATGGGTAAAAAGGCAAATCGCTAGTTTGAGATGAAAAATGAAATTTTCAGGGTAAAATACCAGCATGTATGTACTTGTATAGTGGATACTTCTAAACAAAGAAGGCTTATAAAAGTAAATGCATTAAAGCCAAGTGCAGTGGCTTGCACCTGTAATCCCAGCACTTTGGGAGCTGAGGTGGGAGGATTCCTTGAGCTCCGGAGTTCAAGACCAGTCTGGGCAACATAGCGAGACCCCATCTCTATTTAAAAAAAAACAACAACAAAAAGGGAAGGCATTATATAGCAAATTGATAGTTTATCATAAACCTACAGGGAAGAAACCCAGACTTTGTATTTCTGACATTTTGTGCATTAATACGTTACAAACATGCAGATGTTCGTAACATTCTGCTTTACTCATTTTCTTTGAAGTCACATCACTGTAACATCTGCATTTTTGTATAGAGCTGCTTCAATTCTCAGTCCTCTGGACTTCCTCTCTCTGCTTTTTGTTGTTGAAGACAGTAAAATAGTGTTTTCAAATCTATATACCTCCTTTTTGTTGGATAATGCTTCTTCTTTTTAAGGGTAAATATTCTTGTTCTTCAACGTTTTTTTTTTTGGTTCTTTTTTTCCTTTTTTAGGAAAAACAAAACAGACTTCATCTTTACTTTTTCTCAAGATTTAAGTGAACACATATTCTTTTACATGTGCCAGTTTCTTAAAGAAAACAAAATGTTTCCCTCCCTAGCAAACTATTTAAGAGCCAATTAAACTATGAAATAGTTAGAAAATTATTTATTTTTAATATTTAAGGCCTTGAAATTAATTTTGTTCCAAGTCAAATCTAAACTGGTATAGTTGTATATGTGCAATATAATTTAATGCTAGTCTAAAAAGTACTTATCGCTTGAGGGAGAAGCATAAAGTTTTAGTTAAATAGTCTTCATACTGTGGATTTTTCCTTCAACTAACTAATATGTGGGAAATTACAGATTCCTTTGGACCCCCTCAAACAGTACATTGCATCATTGTTCACTGTAGCAACAGATTTGGTGGTGACTAGGGGTTAGATATAGAAACATAGAGGGTAATTTTAATTTATGATGAATCATTTTCCCCTAATCTGTATAAATGAATTAGAACTGATTTTAATAAAAATACTTTATTTTATCCGGGTGCAGTGGCTCATGCCTGTAATCCCAGTACTTTGGGAGGCCGAGGCAGGTGGATCACAAGGTCAAGAGATTGAGACCATCCTGGCCAACATGGTGAAACCCCGTCTCTACTAAAAATACAAAAGTTAGCCGGGTGTTTGGCATGCACCTGTAGTCCCAGCTACTTGGGAGGTTCAGGCAGAAGAATCGCTTGAACCCAGGAGGCAGAGGTTGCAGTTAGCAGATACTGCTCCACTGGGCTCCAGCCTGGTAAGACTCTGTCTCAAAAAAAAGAAGCTAAAAATACTTTATTTTGTGTAAAAAGTATTCAGAAAAACATCTAAAGCTGTTGGAGAAGAGGGACCTTTTTCAAAGGTTACTGAACTGCCCCTTGATTTTAAAAAGGCCTCTGCTTGATACTTAGAGATGGTTAGTGGCATCTACTGTCATCCTGTGTCTTAAAATATCATGGGTTTGGCATAAAAAATGAGAGGAGATTCAATTATTTAATTTAAAAGAACAATATTAATTTGTAAGGATGAGAAGTGAAATGCCTTTCCTGTGGTTTTTCTTTTCTCATTGGGTTCTATTCACATCAAGTGGACATAAACTGAAAGAAAATGAGCTGAGAAACAACTAGATTCAAATTAGGGGCGTTTGTTGTTCGGGTTTCTGTACAGATCTGTCATACAGATCAGCCCACTAGGGCTACACTATGTACCACCCCACCCTCTGAAGTCACCTTTGCAAAAGGTTTAATTTAAAAATTCTCATTTTAGGCTGGGCACAGTGGCTCAGTCATGTAATTCCAGCACTTTGGAGGCCAAGGTGGGTAGATCACCTGAGGTGGAGAGTTCGAGACCAACCTGACCAACATGGAGAAATCGGGTCTCTACTGAAAACACGAAAATTGGCCGGGTGTGGTGGCACATGCCTGTAATTCCAGCTACTCAGGAGGCTGAAGCACGAGAATCACTTGAACCTGGAAGGCAGAGGTTGCAGTGAGTCGAGTCTCACCATTGCACTCCAGCTTGGGCAACAAGAGCGAGCGAGACCCCATCTCAAAAAAAAAAAGAAAAGAAAAAAAAAAGAACCCTAATTTTATAATGGTTTGATATTTTTAAAAGCACACATTTAGAAAACTATGTATCCCTCAAACATAAAATCGACTACTAAAGTTTTATAAAACATGAAAACTAAATCCATAAACTAAAACAAAGGAATGAACATTTCGAAATGTTTTGAAGAGTGTTGGTAGTTTGATAATATGACAGTTTAAAAGAAAGATCCTTTTCTCTTTCTTTTTTAAAATCGCAAAATTCACTGATATAAGCTGTCAAATTTTAAATACTTTAAAGGTGTGACCTACTAATCATTTGAACATATTGCTGTCAGTGGCATAGTAGATGTTTTTGTAAAGTTGAACATATACTAATAAGCAGAAATTAGCTCTATTTTAATCCCCAAAGTTTAATTTTATTGAAAGTAAGATTTGTTAAAGAAAATTTTGTTCTAATGAAAACTCTATATGACTTTACTAAAAGGCAACAACAATATTAACCCAGCTTGTTCTATCTGTTCTATAAAACTGTTCAAGACAAGCATTAATTGATGTTTTTTTAGCTTGACAGCCTTTCCTCCAGTAATAGTAGTTAAAATACATTAAAATATTTAGACTATCTTAAATTCTTAAATACATTATCTTTATACAGTTGGTAGGGTGTACATTTTATTCACCCTATCAACAGAATAAAGCCTCTTTCTTAGGATCTCTGAGCTTCTTTTGAAGTGCTATAATTTCCATCAACACTTAGGGTACAAATTATTGCACCATATTAATGTTAATTGTGGATTAGGAAATATATGGGAAATAATAAAAATTAAAATAATATAATATTAATAAAATATATGAAGACTCCAATATAAAACAAAAAGATACACATTCAAGGAAACCCATTTTTTTTATTAAGGCTTCAATTAAAAAAACCTTTCAGAGTAACTAATGAACAGTTTTACTTGATTTCATGTAACTTGATATAGAGAAGTTAAAATGTATCTTAGAAGACATTTTGACAGCAGGAAATTAGAAACATACTAAAATACAATCAGAAACGTTAAACCCCCAAATCCTCCCCATTCACTGTAATATCTAGCATAGTAACAAATCACAGCATAATCCTTGCAAAATGTTTTAAAATTTTCTTTTGAAGATAAGTGTTATAACAACATATCAAATCTAATGTGAATACAAAATATTCTCTTCAGTATCCCAATATTTTAAAAGTATAATATTTTATATTAATCATGTTAAATTTCTTGTTGACAATATATGAAAATCTAGCACTGGCTTTTTTAAAACAGTAAAAATTTAACTGTGTGTAGAATCTTGATATAGAGGTAGCTATTAAAACAACACAGGACAGAATTTTAAAATTGTACAACATTTTACCCCAGATGCAATAAACGTTCTCCAGAAACATTGTGGTGTTCTAAAGCTGCATCAGTTAGCTCCCAGAGCTGAGTAGCAATAAGATAGCATGCATTATTAAGCGTGTCATGGAGGCTGTATAAAAATCAAGAGTCACAGGCAGTCAGCAGCAATGGGTCAATAATGTCCCCAGAGACATTGTGTAGATAATCAAGGCCTGAGGTTTTCTCAGCACTGCACACAGCAGAAGGGCCAAATAATACAGCCAGGGAAGGACACTGCCCAGCTCCACTTTCCACAGCACACTATGGCTGCTCTAGAAAAAATATCTCCAAATGAAAATAAAGCAAACTGGTTGTGCAACTGGCACCCAACTAACCTTTTAATGCAACCACAAATTAATCCTTCAAACAGACTTCCAAAAAAATCCAAACACTATTCAATAAAAAGTCTGCCTAGAAATGAAACCATAGAAAAGTTTTATTTTAAAAATGCTGCATAAAGCCAGGTGCTGTGGCACACGCCTGTAATCCCAGCACTTTCGAAGGCTGAGTAGGGGAGATCACCTGAGGTCAGGAGTTCGAGGCCAGCCTGGTCGACATGGTGAAACTGTCTCTACTAAAAATACAAAATAATAATAATAATAATTAGCCAGGCAGGCTGAGGTAAGAGAATCGCTTGAATCCGGGAGGCGGAGGTTGCAGTGAGCAGAGATTACGCCACTGCACTCAGCCTGGGTGATAGAGACTCAGCCTCAAAAAAAAATAAAAATGTTTGGCTAATAGAAATTGTAAAATTCACATTTGGCTCACATTTTATTTCAGAGGATTGCCTCCTTTTTAAAATCTCAGGCTGCCTGCTCAAAGGACCAGAAGCCAGGAAGGTCATAAAACTTGAAATTGTTAAATAATTGTTATTAGATTCTTTCCATTTATTATAAGGCGTGAATAGCCTTATAATACGTTACTTATAAATGCACATCACTTTATACACAAGGTTAAATACAAACACCCTCCTGGTTGGTCCCGGCTCAGCTCAGGGGGAGGAAGCTCTGCCTCAAAAAGTTGCAGCCCAGGCTGTCACTCTTTCTTAATTTAGCCTAGTGTCTGGTTAAATCTTCTGTCATTCAGGGACTAAAGGGGGCGGGCCTTAAGCATTATCTAGTCCGAGAGTCTAAACTAGGAACTGTCCAATAAGAGACGCAGCTGGAAAGTGCAGGACGGCTTCCGGGATTTGGCGGGTCTTTTGTCTCTTCTTGCAGCCAGAGCCCCGGGTCTCGTCTTCGCTGCTCTGTGTCCCCGGCTGCTCTGTGTCCTCGGCTGCTCTGTGTCCTCCGCTCCTGGAGGTCTAATCTGTGTGGCCCTGTGACCTTCAGGTATTGAGAGATCCACAGCTGAGACGCCAGAAGCCGCTGAAAACCTCGAAATGGTGAGTGCGCGGGATCCGACATCTAGAGAGTGGGAAAGGGCTGATTGAAAGCGGTGGGAAGTGGCTGTAGCGGTTCTCAGGCCCCCAGCAGTCAGCTCCAAAATCAGAGGCCGCGAGTTCGCCTTGGCCAGCTCGACCTTCAGTTCCCTTCAGCCATAAGATGGCGGCTGGGCGGATAGGCGGGACCCCAGGCATCCTGTTTCTTGCCTACACAGTGACTGTGCCCCAGCCTGGAGCCCGCTTTGGGCAGCTCTGCACCCACAGCGCCGCGTCTCTCCCCAGTTGTGCAGGGACCACCGGAGGGTCGCCAGGGGAGAATCCTGACTTGGAGTGCGGGGTTCAGGAATCGGAAGAGCTTTTTGTCCCTCTTTGATAAAAAATGTATTGGAGTCATCACAAAAATGTTAAATAATTTATTCAAACAGTTGTAGAGCACCCAGCTATGGTTTGTAGTTTGTGGTCCATGCGACAGGGTTTAAGAGAAGACATTTTATAAGGTGCATGATTAAGAGATACCCGCATTCATTAATCAGTTATGGTTAGGTAGTTTCTTAATTTCCACTCTGAGCTTCCAAATTCTCTGGTTATGCAATCAGAGGTTAATTGACAGTTTATAATTGGTTAACCCTGAAGCTTTTTCTCCCAATGTAATAATTTATTCTCCCCCCACAAAATGCACTTGAGTTAGATTTTATTTTTAAGTGAAAATTCAGACTAGAGCCACGTCAGTCTCATTGCCTGCCACTTATTTTCTCACACCACAGGAAAGTGATTTTCCCCTGCGTTTTTCACATGTGGCGCAAGCAACCTCTCAAGTCTACCTTCCACTCCCACCCTGCATTCCTTCATCCTAACTCTGGCTTGCAGTAAAATACTACATTTCCAGTTCTTTTTAACATTTCCGAATGCCAATTTCCCCTCTCTAATTCACATTATCAACTACTTGTCCTTTAGTGTACATTTTAGATGCAGTATTTTCATTAGTCATTAAAAAAAAAGTAAGATGTAATCTCACTTTGTCACCCATGCTGGAGTGCAGTGGAGTGATCTCGGTTCACTGCAGACTTTGCTTCCCCGGTTCAAGCGATTCTCCTATCTTCGTCTCTTGAACAGCTGGGATTACAGGTGCACACCATCACAGCCGGCTAACTTTTGTATATTTAGTAGAGCCAGATTTTCATTATGTTAGCCAGTTCAGTCTCAAACTCGTGACCTCAAGTGATCTGTCCTCCTTGGCCTCCCAAAGTACTGTGATTACAGGGGTGAACTACTGCACATGGCCATTAATTAATCATTTTTTGACAAAGCGTTGGATGGGACTTTTACAAAGATGTGTTTTCTCTTTGAAAAATATTGTCCCTGAGAATAAAGAATAAACCCCTCACACTGTATTGTTTTTTTAAAAAAAAAGTTTCTCTTTTCTTTTTATCTTCCCTAGGAGCAGAGGTCTTATTAGAATGCTTTTGGGTCAAGGATTCCCTTCAGAAAATTTTGGGGTTATTTGTCCTCAGTCACCCTGGTCCTGGGTTTCAATACTGTTTTGGGATAAACCAAGATACCTGCCATGGTTATGTTGCTGGAGTGTCTAGTGAATATCAGCTCCTGGGTTATTTTTTCTTATAGGACAACCTGAGGTATGGAGTGTGGCCTCTCAAGGAAGCAGGTGGATGTGGTGGGGCTGACAGTAATCACCTGGTGTACTCTGTTTTTTGAAAAGCTAACCCCTTGAGACATTAAAACTGTTTACCTAACCCAGCTTCCATTTCTTGGAGACACATTGCTGGTCAGCCAACCAGATGCTGGTATTGAGGAAAAAAACATAGTAAAAATTTCTGACCCCTGGATTTTTTAAGGGGACAGAAAAATAGTTAAATAAATATAGTTAAAGAAAAATTTGTGAAAGAAAAAAATGGCATCCCAAAAGTCAGAAACAACCTGACCCCAGTGAGATGGTGTAAGAACTTGCAAAGTAAAACACATCTGTAACACTCACTGGGGCACGGGTAGTCATACATAGTCTCCTGAGTAGGTGGTTATTGAGCACTTAAGTGAGAGGATGGGGTGGAGAGTCTCTCAAGTGATTGAATAGCCTTAATTGACACGTGAGTAAGGCAGATTTGTTTTTTAATCACGACTGCCACTCTCTAGGCTTGTCACCTTTAAAAGATTTGTTCACTTACTTGGACCTCAGTTTTTAATTGTAAGTTGCATTTTATTAGTAGGAGTTGAAAGAAAAAAAGCAGTATTTGCAAAGGATGTAGAAGAGGTGGGTTTCAGAAACAAAAAATAATATCTAATCATATATTCCATTTGTTAAAAATTCTCATTTACCTTTTTCTTTCCCAACATGAGTTTTGAAATTTTCTCAGGTGAGTTTCTTATGGCTCTGTGATTTCAAACAGAATTTTAAGGCTTAGCTTTCAGAATGCTAACTATGAAGTAAAAGAATAGAAAAAAATCTCTCTTCCATTTTGGCTGCAGAAAATGAATACCGTTCCACAAAAAAACGTGATGGATAACTGGTGAGTTACATAGATTCATGAAAACATTAGGTCTTCTTCTTGCAGGGTACATTTGTAACAGTGACTATCTCTGTTCTCTATCCCATTATCTTGATTTCTGGGCTTCATGCTAAATTTTATTAGATGAAACTTGGTACCCCTAGAAGTGTTTTCATATGACTAATTGTTTACTACATAATTTTAATTAAAATTATCCAATAATACATTTATTGTTTGAAATAAATAGATACTTTTGCTTTTCTTATCGAGGTATAAAATGTAGACACCTTAAAATTTCTTCATCTTAAGTTAATACTGTGTTTAAGTAATTTTCTGGATTGTACACACACTTAGTTTCAAAAGCCAAGTGGATTACTCTGAGATGAAAATTAAAGCTTGAGTCCAGTGACTCTGAGGTAAGGGTAATATTGAACCTGCACAAAGAGGTTATTAAAGGCCCAATTATTTCTTTCTGAGGAGCCTCGTGTGCAGGTGTCTCGGCCTGCTCACCTCAGCCATGGAAGAAGCCTTTATACTGAGAGAAGCTTCAGAGCCCTGGAAAGCTGGGGGGTCCATGGGCAGATGGAAGGAGACTGGGAGAGTCTTACTGAAGATGAAGCTGTTACTGTTTTGAGGTGGCTTTTAGATTTTGTAAAATAACACAGTTAGATATAAGTAAAAAATAAAAAATTGAGTTCCACAGGAATATTACAACAGGAGGAAGTACCAACTATAAGATCCATAAAGATTGCAAAATTTAGGCAGACAAGGCTTTCTTTAATAGGGAGGAGCAAAGCCAATAAAAAAGAAGGTTTGAGGGGAATGGCAAATGGAGGGTGAATAATCAGATTTTAGGTCAGAGAGTGTTTTACCCTTAAGTCAGCATATTCTTATGAGGAACACAACAGCATAACATTTGTATGTTGGCTCAGGCTGAGGGTAGCTCAAAGTCCAGGAGTCTGTGGAAAGGAGATAAACTTGAGTAAAGTTTGATGAAGAAGTATTTCATTTTGATCACTGAAGACAAATTCAGCTGATTTTTTTTTTATTGGATTTTAGGTTTGGGGGTACATGAGCAGAGCGTGCAAGACAGTTGCGTAGGTACGCACATGGCAGTGTGCTTTGCTTTGCTTCTCCCCTTCACCCACATTTGACATCTTTCCCCAGGCTATCCCTCCCAACCTCCCCCTCCCACTGGCCCTCCCCATTTCCCCCCAATAGACCCCAGTGTTTAGTACTCCCCTTTCTGTGTCCATGTGTTCTCATTTTTCATCACCCGCCTATGAGTGAGAATATGCGGTGTTTCATTTTCTGTTCTTGTGTCAGTTTGCTGAGGATGATGTTCTCCAGATTCATCCATGTCCCTACAAACGACACAAACTCATCATTTCTGATTGCTGCATAATATTCCATGGTGTATATGTGCCACATTTTTCCAATCCAGTCTATTATCAATGGGCATTTTGGTTGATTCCAGGTCTTTGCTATTGTAAACAGTGCTGCGATGAACATTCGTGTACATGTGTCCTTATAGTAGAACGATTTATAGTCTTTTGGATATATACCCAGTAATAGGATTGCTGGGTCAAATGGAATTTCTATTTCTAAGGCCTTGAGGAATCGCCACACTGTCTTCCACAATGGTTGAACTAATTTACACTCCCACCAACAGTGTAAAAGTGTTCCTTTTTCTCCACATCCTCTCCAGCATCTGTTGTCTCCAGATTTTTTAATGATCGCCATTCTAACTGGCGTGAGATGGTATCTCAATGTGGTTTTGATTTGCATCTCTCTGATGACCAGTGACGATGAGCATTTTTTCATATGATTGTTGGCCTCATATATGTCTTCTTTCGTAAAGTGCCTGTTCATATCCTTTGCCCACTTTTGAATGGGCTTGTTTTTTTTCCTGTAAATCTGTTTGAGTTCTTTGTAAATTCTGGATATCAGCCCTTTGTCAGATGGGTAAACTGCAAAAATTTTTTCCCATTCTGTTGGTTGCCGATCCACTCTAGTGACTGTTTCTTTTGCTGTGCAGAAGCTGTGGAGTTTGATTAGGTCCCATTTGTCTATTTTGGCTTTTGTTGCCAATGCTTTTGGTGTTTTGTTCATGAAGTCCTTGCCTACTCCAATGTCCTGGATAGTTTTGCCTAGATTTCCTTCTAGGGTTTTTATGGTGCCAGGTCTTATGTTTAAGTCTTTAATCCATCTGGAGTTAATTTTAGTGTAAGGTGTCAGGAAGGGGTCTAGTTTCTGCTTTCTGCACATGGCTAGCCAGTTTTCCCAACACCATTTGTTAAACAGGGAATCCTTTCCCCATTGCTTGTTCTTGTCAGGTTTATCAAAGATTGTATAGTTGTAGATATGTTGTGTTGCCTCCGGTGTCTCTGTTTTGTTCCATTGGTCTATATCTCTGTTTTGGTACCAGTACCATGCTGTTTTGATTACTGTAGCCTTGTAGTATAGTTTGAAATCCGGTAGTGTGATGCCCCCCACTGT